ACACACACACACACACACACACACACACACACACACACACGACCGTGACCCCGCTGCCGCTGGTGCGTAAAAGCAGGTTTTGTTCTGCTCAGCTTTTATTCACAGAAAAAATAAAATAAAATAAAAGAAGAAAAAAAAGGTAATTTCTTGTTCTAAATATTTGGTGGTTGTTTGGTGCTGCTGGTGCGGGTTGTAAAGCGGGTTTAAAGACACAACAGCGCAGTGGGGAGCTCAATTGGAAAAGACAAATGCGCTAAAGAAGCTTTTGAAAAGGAGGGGGGTACAGATAAAAAAAAGGGGGGGGCATGGGAGGGAGAGAATGAAGTTTTCATTTTCTCTCTCTTCCCGTGGAAGAAAAAAAAAGTAGTTGGGCTGTGTTGCAGGAGCAAATCACGGCATGTCGTGTCCCACAGGACTGAGCTCAGTCCAAAATAATTTAGATTTAAATTGGTTTTATTTCTTCTCAAATGAGCCGCTCCGTCATTAATCAGCCTCAGATTCCTTCACACAGGCCTGCCCTGCACTCACAGCCAACTCACGTTTCAAGACTTTACAATTTAATTTCATCAAGTGAAATTAAATGTAGTGCCATTATTATGTTCTGCTTTTTTAAAATAAAACAGTAAAGTTATTTAGAGTGTAAATACACAGCTGTCAGGAGCCGCGCCTGCAGTTAATCATTTATTTTATGGTCCAGAGCTGAAATGTTGTTCCTGAGGTTAACTACGATCTAATCTGCATTTCTTTTTCCTGCAGTGATCCGGAACAACAGCGTCTTCATTCAGTGTGCTTCTTGTGCTCACAACGTTCTCATGAAGGCCTCCAACTAATTATATCTGCTCTCACATCCTTTTWTTTCTTTTCTCTTTTTAACAAAACCAATATATGTTGTTATTCTAGTGAACCTAAAAATACAATTTGTCAAAAAAAAAAACAACAGGTTTAACTTCACTCGTCCAAGAAGCTCCTCTATTATCATTTTAAATGCGTTCATTTAACTTTAAAACCACAAAGTTCAATTTTGCAGACTCATACAATTGTTGCAGCTATTGTATTAATTTTTATTTTTATTTTAATTGTAGCAGTCTTGTACAATTTCAGCCTTTTTTTGGGTGTTTGTTTTAAATGTTTTTCGTTGCATAAATCACGACT